CAAGGACATGATGCAAAATCCCAATAGCGCCACCATAAAACTCTGCCTCCTCCATGTGACCTTTCCCAACAGTAAAGCAGGCATCAGCATGTCGTAGGTGGCGATTGCAAGCAAAAGCCCTGATGCGAAGCAAATCAACCCAGCGGAGATTGAACCACTGAAGTCTTGCATGAGTAGCATTCCCAGGATGATGCCCACGGGAGTCATCAGGGCCATAAACACCATGGACAGCCACCAACACAGCTTTGTAACACTTGGCATCATCAAGGATCCCAACGAGAAGGCGGCGAAGCCCTTGTGCGCCAAGATTGCAATGACGGTAGGACCAAAGGACCCCATACCTTCAGCAGCACCGGCAGCAGTTCCAGCCACCAGCGAGTGCACACACAAGCCAAACAAGCCCTGAGGACATGTGGTGCGTCCGGCTGGCGGTGAACGAAGCTATCAGGAGTCCTTCTAAAATCTAGGGGGTTCAACAAAACAAACAATCTAAACACAAGCAAAAACCAGGGATCCAACCAAGTTTCGCACCAAATTGGAACACAAATTAATATCAAACCTGAGAGGCAGATAGGCCACTAACACAAGAGTGTTGATGGCTCAGCTCCACTAGATCTCGTCCAGGGCTGCTGGAAGCAGAGCTGCTGTCATCTTCCCAATTCGAATGAGAGGTATGTTCCTGCTGACTTGGATACTCATGACATCGCTACTAGTAGCAAGGACGCTACTAGGGGCTCCTGGCCTTACTACTAGTAGCAAGGACGCTACTAGGGGCTCCTGGCATCGCTACTAGGAGCAAGGACGCTACTAGTAGGAACAACTAGTTCTGAAAACGACCAAATTGGCCACCCACGGGGCCCACGAGTTCTGATCTGGAGGGATGCAGGATTGACTGTTGAGGAAGGGATGATCTTTGGGCAATTTTTGTGTGCTGCTCTGCCATATATTTAATATCAGAGCCGTTGGGCTGCAATTTGAACACATCAAACATGTAGTAGGAACGTCGTTAAGGGTGATTTTTCCTTGGTAATGATAAATAACTTGACGAGGAGTCAGGTGAGTCATTGTCTTGACGCGTATTGGAGTGAAGTGAGGATCTGTGAAATGATGCGGAGAACGTGATGAAATATATGTTTTCATGATGTAGGACGGAGTTTGTGGTGTGATGTTGCAAGAGGTAGCACGTTGGACGACAAACCATCTTCTGAGCCCAAACAGAGCCCACAGCTTGCAGAAGCAGTTCTGAGCACAGACATAGCACGGAGTGCGTGTATTACACGGGTACTATATACAAGACAGCCAGTTCTGACAAAAGCCACTTCGCACACTACTTATGACTTATGCGCCCGAAAGCTACTAATGTCTTGCTGCTTTTGCTAAGTTTCTCTACAAATCTCTTCTTCTTGCTACTTGCTACTTCTCTATTCTCGCACCCCCTTCAAAGCATTCTGCATGCTCCGATTATAGGCTTCCCCTAATATAGGCTTCCGCAGACCGCAGGCCTGTTGCGTCCGGCATATTCCATTCCACTGCAGAGCCAAGCACCGAAACACCTGCTGCCTGCACCCGAATTCATTCCAAGGGAACGCCCTGCCATCCTCGCTTTTCCCTCTCGTGGGATTGCGCGCACGCGCCAACTGCAACTGTTCATAACTCGGAACTGTCTACATATACTACTAGTAATTGAAACTTCCTTTGACAAAAACACTCGTGCTTGAACGTTGGAGCTTGCATCAAAACTGTTTGTTCGCTGTGGATGAACTGACCATTTGGGATGTCCCCCATTGTTTGTTCTTTTTTTTCAGGGTTTTGGTCTTTCCACATCTGTGTGGCATTCCAAGCACGAAATGAATGTGGACGAGCCGGGTAGGCAACGACGGGTGGATAGCAGCAGCAGTCTAGCAGCAGCAGACCAGCATATAGAGCAATTATTCCACTCGCTTGTGGGGTCTAGGAAGGCTGCAATCCTGGAAAGCCAAATGACAAAAACATTCTGGTCATTATGGGAAAAAGCCGTAAAGTTCAGTTTTTGCTGTCTTTAAATACTAGTTTTACCCGTAGTGACCAAAAAAAGATTGTAAAATCAAAAGACTATGGCAGGCCTACCAGTAGCAAAACCGTATTTGTTCAACTTGTTTCAACAACATGTTGAAAAAACGGCCGAACTCGAACAAAGCGTAGCAACTCTTCCACAAGTGGACAAGTGGCTCCAAATAATCAAAGTCGTAATGACCGAGGAAAAACACATGGTCAAGGCCATTTGACCAAAACAAATGTTGTGGCTTTCCAGCATAATTGTTGATCGTGTTTCTATGGTTTTGCTAGCTTGCTCCTTATGGGGAGCAAGCTAAGCAGTGTAGTCTGGTGCCTAGTGAGCCTGGTGTAGTGCATTTTTGTCGGTCACGAGAGGTCATCCCATACCCTAAACAGCTTGAATTGTTTTGTTTTGAAGTGGCGGTTGACTTGGCTTGGCAACAAACTGGAGTTGTTTGGGGGGGAGGCGCGGCTGGAAGCCCAACACCACCAAGTGCCAAGCCACCAAAAGCTATCACATGCCAACAAAAGCTATCAAAACCGAGCCATAAAGATCCAACAATGAGAACCAACGCAAGCCATTAAAGAAAGCAACAACGGAACCACCAAGACCACACAAGCCACCAAAACCCAAAAGAAGCCACGCCAAAAGCCACAGAGGCCACAAAACCAAAAGCCAAAAGCAACAGGTAGAAACATACAATATCAAAAACAAACACAACAACAATAAAAAAACATGGCCCTTCGTCTAGAACCCACCTGTTTTGGAAGTCTTGGAGAACTTGTTCGGTATCTTTCTTCTCTCCTGAGATCTATCTGGCAAGAAGACGGCCACACTCACATTGGTCAGAAAGCCCAGGCCGCATAGAGCAAAGCCCAAAGGAAAGGAACCGTCTTCAGTGCCTCCAGGGCAACAAGCAAAATCGGTTTGGACGTGGGCAATGGTCGAGACATATGTCTCATAATCATAAGGCAAAGAACAAACACATGATAATATCATAAAGCGGTGTCCACTCAGAACTGGCCCCTGCACCCATTTTGGAACTGACATGGCTGTACACTTCACTTTCCCTACTGACTTATTATATATACATGTACATATGTTTTTGTTGATATGATGTGTCCGTGTTTTTCTTGTTTTGAACATGTTAAAGACAAAGGCAGCAAGTTCATCAAAAGAACCTCCGCGCATTCTCTCTTGCCTTCGGTCCTAGAAACGGTGGATGGAATCAGCCTCAAAGCGTTTCCGTTCACCCCATCATAGCCTAAGGTTAAGGAATCCCCAGCCTACTTTTGCCACCTTCAGTCTGTGGCTGTGGTACTCTCTTAAGCCTAAGGTCTTTTCCGGTCTGTTTGTCATTTGGACTGTCACGGATCATCCGCTCATGTGAATCAAACTCAAGACCGACACGGATCATCCGACTCTGAAAGTCGACAGTCCCTGTTCGCCCCCAGACAGGCCGCCTGTGAAGAACTGGAAAATGGACGTCCCGGCAGCATCCAGATCACCGGAATTATCACCTTGGAAAACACATTGGAAGATCTGCAGGGTCAAGCTCATTGGAAGATCTAATTATCACCTCGTCTAAGTCTCAGTTCTTTCCCAGAAGATCCCAGGGTCACATTCACCCAAACCAAGGAGGAGTCTTCACCAGGTCACTCAACATGTGCACCAGCGTCACGGCCAGCAGAATGCCACCGGCACCAGAATTGATCACTCCAACCACCTGACGAGAGGAGCAGATGTGAGGAGCTCTACCACTTCGGAGGTGCTCTACCACCATGGAGTTGGGCGCCGAACGTGGTGCGTCGTGGTCACGTGCGACGACGGGACGGGAAGAAACGACAAAACCACTCGACTCCATGGAAATGGTGGTGCAGATGTCCATGCAGAAGATTCGATCTTGCTCCCGACTCCCTGGATGCCCACATTCTTCCGTGTCCCTGAAAGTGAACAACTGGGAAGCCTCGGTAGCAAAGTGTTGGTCGAATGGTCGCATGCAAAGGCACTGCATGGTTGGTTTGGTGTGGGAGAGGTGTAAGAATAGCTTCAACATGCTTCAACGTTCAAAGTCGTTCAACAATCCTGGTTGTCACCACATACCTAGGCCTTTTCCATCCACCTGCACGTCTCCGTTGTCCGCCGGGGGCCTTGGGCGCCAGGTGGCTGGTGACGCGACTGAGCACCGCTGCGACGAGGGCCACCGTGAAGATCATGGCCGCGCTGATCAACTTCATCGCGACGTCAGAGACCATGGCGACGCGGAGGACCAAGTTTCGTGGTCGAGGCGAAAGCGCAAGCGAAAGCGTCAAGGGACGCGATATCGCGTCAGGACGTGAGAAGCACGTGGACTCACGAGGAAGAATAATGCATGTTATGGGTTTGATGATCATTCAATTCAAGAGGTGCCTTTTGCATCCAAACACCTTGTAGTGTTGTCAACATAGCAGCACCACCCTATCATTCTAATAGCATTTTTCAAATGCCGGAGCCAGGGTGCCATTGATCCAGAGTTCCATGCTTTTCTGCGGAGAGTGACACCCCTCACAAAACAGCTTCCCTCCAGCTTCCCTCGAGGGAAGCTGAAAGTATGAGATGTTCATCCAGATGTTTGGGCAATCACAACCAGCCAGCTTCTTCAAAGTGACCTTTTGACGGTTGCTAAGTGACCCTACTCGGAGGCTTAAGTGACCTCAAACCATCAAAAGGTCACTTTGAAGAACCAGGAGGGGTGCTTTTTTGAGGTCACCACATTTTTCAAGACCTGGGGAGATGGCTGAGAAGAAAAACTATTTTCTGGTACACGGTTAAGGCTGCATTGTTTAGAGAAAACAAGCACATCTTCCATTCTATTACAATTATATAGGTTATATAAGGTTTATGTTTGGTTGGTTGTGATCCACCGATATGATATCATACTTGTGATGTCCATACGATCGAGACTCTCGGAGCAAAACTTTGCATACTGAGGTGGTTGGTTAGATACCAACATAATTCAACATAACTTCACGGACTGGTTTACCCTGCGCATCCTTTTACAAATCAAAACAATCGTAATAATCGTATCGATTCTGGTTGCAAACGTACCGCGTGTCCAAACGTGCAACAAACGACGATCGATCATGGTCACCCCAGTCTTTCGAGAGTCTCTTCGAGAGAGCGAGGGTACCAGGACGTGACAGCCCAAGGGTACCAGGACGTGACGGGTACCAGGACGTACTGGCCAGAGTTCATCTGGCCACGACTCTCAAACAGGGTTAAACAGGGAGCCACCCATTGGTTCAATGGACATCCAAAGCTCGTCTTGCATCCCTGCTTGTGTCTCTTTTTGCTTACGTTCTGGCACCACATCCTTCTAGGACCAAATGGCTAACAAGGACATGATGCAAAATCCTAATAGCGCCACCATAAAACTCCGCCTCCTCCATGTGACCTTTCCCAACAGTAAAGCAGGCATCAGCATGTCGTAGGTGGCGATTGCAAGTAAACACCCTGCTGCGAAGCAAATCAACCCAGCGGAGATTGGACCACTGAAGTCCTGCATGAGTTGCATTCCCAGGATGATGCTCACAGGAGCCATCAGGGCCAAAGTCACCATCGACAGCCACCAACACCTCGTCGTAACACTCGGCATCATCAAGGATCCCACGGAGAAGGCGGCGAAGCCCTTGTGCATCAAGATCGCAACAACGGTAGGACCAAAGGACCCCATGCCTTCAGCAGCACCGGCAGCAGTTCCAGCCACCAGCGAGTGCAAACACAAGCCAAACAAGGCCTGAGGACACTGGTTCTGCGTTGGGGCTGGATTCTGAAGTGAAAGAAACTGTTGGGAGTCTTGGTAAAATGGCACTCAATCTTGGGGTTCAAACAATGGCTTGAAAAAAAGAAACAAGCACGTGAAGACCAGACATCGAACCAAGGTTTGAAATAAGTCTTCCAAAGTTGTTACTCTCAGAACCTAAGAGGCAGATAGGCCACTGGCACAAGACTGTTGATGGCTCACCTCCATTGTGTCTGGCCCAGGGCTGCCCGAATCAAAGCTGCTGTCATCTTCCCAAGTCGAAAGAAAGCCATGCTCCTGGTCCTGCTGACTTGGATACTCATGACACTCAAAACTCTACACTCACAACTCAAAGCACTTGATCCAGGGCTCTTGGACAAGTGAGAAGTTCTATTTACTGGACAACAGGTTGCTGCCTTTTTTGCATTTGCCTTCACTACCACTTCGTTTTTCGCACTACAGGGAGACCGAGCCATGGTCACGGTCAGGCAACGCAGATCATATATATATATATATATAACCACCACACCCTCAAATAGTTGAATCAAGAGTCTGGCCAGTTCCAGGTGGTTGTAACGGTGGGTGCCGGGAAATCAACTAGACTTGGGTACTACTGAAACTCGACTCTTCGAGGGCTCTTCTTTTCTCCTCGAACTCCTCTGATTTATCTGGCCAGAAGACGGCCACACTCACATTTGCCAGAAAGCCCAGGCCGTATAAAGCAAAGCCCAAAGGAAAGGAACCGTCCTCGGTGCCTCCAAGGTTGAAACCAACCAGCAAAGAAACCAACCAGGACCCTCCAAGTTCCATTAACCACCCCTTGAAGGCCCTGGAATAAGGTGGTTTCAGAGTAGATGGCACAAACCCCAAGACGTCTTAGACATTTGAGGGTCCATATAAGTCACCTTTTGGAGAAGACTGCCATCGTATGTCATCTTTTCTCTAAAACCACTTCCCGTTTGGTCTTCGTTTTGATGTGTGTAATCAGGAGTCAAATGAGCTTGTGTTATTTGTTTTTATTTGTTTTTAATGTCTTTGTTTACTGTCCATTCATGTCTCATGTCATTGGAAATCCATGTCGTCATGTCATCAGTACTGTATGTGTCAAGTGACCTACTCCCCGCGACCCCATCCAGGCGTTCACGCCTCGAAGGGATGAACATGGCCTCCGAATATAAAACAAGTACAACCTCCAACTGGTTGATGGTGGTTGCCCACTTATTCAGGCGGTGTCAACATGCCAAAAACATCGACAACTGGAACAATACCTGTACCTACCCTAGTCCTCCTAGTCAGAGTACAACGGACACACCATCCAGAATGTTCTGCCTGGGCGCTTGGGATCAGGAGCTACTCATTTAAAGCTCAAGAGATCGGTCATTTGGATCATCCCTTGTGTGATTCTATCTTGAGGCTGTCCATGTGACTTACAACGAAGCCACCGTTTCCAGTCAAGTTCTCTCCCCAGCTGCTTTGGCCATGATTTCTACCGCCCCTCAGAACTCTTGGCTCACCTGGAGATTCATCCGTCATGAAATTCTTGGTGGTTTTCATCTTTGCACCATGTCTTAACGCAGGCGCCCCCGAAACCAAGCAAACGGTTAAAGACTGTAGAACGCTGGCAAATGGCCACAAACCGCTCGCAAAGGCAAGCAACAAAAAAAACAACAGCCATCACACATTGCAAAACACCCAAAACGCCTAAACCACCCATAAAATCAGAAGTATACCTTGTCACATAAAATCTCCAGAAATACTGTTTGTAGCCAATCCCCAAATTAGCCACTACCAGTATACTTGGAATTTGAGCCAAGAGTCTTTTCCCGGGGATGATGCCCAGACCGGGCAGTGCGGGCGTCATTTCTCCCGCCTGTGAAGAACTTGAAGATGGACGTGCCTGCGGTGTCCAACTCCCCAGAGTTGTCACTCAACATGTGCACCAGCGTCACGGCCAGCAAAATACCACCCGCGCCAGCATTGATCACTCGGACCACCTGAGAAAGGGTGAGGTGGTACGTAGAAATCCTGGATTGTGCAGGACAAAGTGTGCACACAAGAAACAGTTTTGAAGCCAACAAAAGGTGCATTCTGTGTCTCTCAACTGGGTGGGGGATATGGAGTATGTCCATGCAGGGGAACCCCCCCTGCCTCTCGTGTTTCGTCTTGTAGCTAGCTCCAATCATTATACCTAGCACTTCCTGTCGTTGGGTCCAAAGGAGACCTCTGAATACTTTAGAGTTGTCCATTCTTTGGGAAGCAGCGGGTATAATCGATTTGCAATCTACTAAGTGTCCCCAGTCATCACCCAGCACTGCGGATATGCCGTTTGCGCGCCGTTGTCCGCCGGGGGCCTTGGGCGCCAGGTTGCTGGTGATGCGACTGAGCGCCGAACCGATGAGGGCGACCGCGAAGATCATGGCCGCGCTGATCAACTTCATCGCGACGTCCGAGACCATGGCGGGCCACGGACGACGCGAGCCGACCACGGCCCGTACGGTCTGTGCCGGGGCCGGTGAAGTGAAGGACCACGCAGCGGAGGTGAAGTGAAGCGTTTGTTTGAGCATCAGTGAAGCTTGCGTCTTCTTAGTCCTCTTGGTGGAAAGGAGTCGGAGTCCTATTGAAAAGAACAGGTTCACAAGAAAACATACACATGAAAAAACAGGTCTTTGTTTATTGGATTGATTAACGTTGACGGGTGTTATTTTTTGTAGAAATATTGCGGCCGTGAAACAACTTGTTTCTGTCTGAATATGTCTGCAGGTACATTGGGCCTATTCACCATTTACACTCGTTGTGCTTGTAAAGGTATGTGCCAGGTTGGTGAGTACTTCCATTGTCAGATTCCGATGCTCTGAATGGTACGTGACCTTGAGCCAGCTGGTGCCATTCCAGTGAAAAGTCAGTCTACACTCCCTGAAATAATCATGGTTATGTGGAGTGAGTTGACCACCTGCTTGGTATTTTCGGATTTCACGGTCCGAAACCGAGTCGTCCGGGGTCATTTGCCGGACTCGACTTCCATGATTCTCTCGAAGAGAACCATTGTAGAACCTTGATTAAGTTAAAACCCTCCATATTGATGAAGGCTCTTCCATTCCAAATGGGTGGATGTGATTAATCAAGATTCTACATTAAGGAAGCAAGCTGTGAACAAGGTCTCTCTCGCAATGTGGAAGGCCGGGTGGGTTTGATTGATCTTCATTAGTCCCTCTATACTCATGTGCCAGTGCCATCCCCACAAGACCCTCCAACACCACCCGAACTGGGCTGGTGGAGACCTTGGCTTCACCGCTGACTCCGCGGTGACGGAGTCGCCCGAGTCCGCTTGATGCGAGGCCGGTGACCACAAGGAAACCCCGAAACCAACAGAGGTATCCAGTGACCGTAAATAGGACTCGTAACCACGGGTACCTATAGTATAGTCGATAGGGTTCTTCAACCTCTGCTGGAACCACTAGTGGTTGGTATGCGGAAAATGGTAGAAACCACGGCTCAATGGTCAGGGTCCACTTTCAGATCGACTGACCACCTTGATCTTCAAGCCAATCATGTCGAAATAAAGAAATCGAGATCCCCCCCAGATACACTCCCAGGACAAAGCGACTAAGCATAGCAAAGCAAACTAACGCCCACGTTTGGGTGGAGGGTCACTCTATAGTAAAGTACACAAGCAATATTTGTGTTAGTAACGTGGTTCTCTTTCTTGTATTTTCAAGAGCTCCATCATCAGTCTCCGGGGACAAGTTGGAAAGCTTCACTCCTCCTCTCTCCAATTGTGGTTCTTCAGTGGCAGCCCTCACATCGCCACTACAATATACTACAATACAAGCTACTGACAAGCGGGGTTAAGCTACAAAAGGAGGAGCTGGCCAATCTGTGAAGAAAGTTCCACGAATATCCAACATCATGGACGGCCTCCAGATCGACAAGAAGATGGGGCTGAGTTTCTATCTTGGCCAAATAGAGTTAGAGGGCAAGTTTAAAACCCTGGTGTGGATTCTCATACCCCTCAAAGGTTGCAACGTGCAAGTCAAGCTACCAGTGATCAAAGACCACCAAATACCAAAAATACACCAAAATGTCTGCCAGGCTCCCTGCATCATTGGCCATAAAGCAACGAGGCTTAGAAGCTCCACATCTCAAGAAAATGATCCTTCAGTCCCCCAATCCTGCAAACCCATATATAACTTCAAAGATTTATTATCTTAGGATGATCCTTCAAACCCCATCCTGGTTTTGATCTAGTCACCTGGTTTACGATGTCTCTACAGCTCAAATGTCTCTAATGCCTCACCATGGGGGTTTCTCCGATGCTCTGCTCCGTGGGCCGTTGGGTGGAAGCTGCGCCTGCCAAACTCCTGGGTGGAAGCTCATGCAGCACCTGTAAGGTCTCTCGCGCCACCTGCCGCAAGTCGTGAACTCTGCAAAGAAGATCAGCAAAGAACTCAGAATTGGGAGCTGGTTGGGGGGGTGTCCACCATCTCGCCTGCTGTTCTCTCGGCGTTGGCGTCAGACTGCGGGTTAGAGTGTTGAAACTTCCACGATTGGGTTGATGATCTCACGTGGTTTTTGGTGGGAGACACCTAGAAGTCACCAGCTCTAAGTGAGTGGCTTAGTCAGGCTTCGTGCACGTCGTGCACCTGGAGTTTCATGTCAAAAGTGGTTCGAAGAGAACGTAGAGGTGCTGATGATCCACTTAGCCGGGGCTGCCGATGATCTCAACAACTAGAACCATGCCTCATTCCCCCTTGGAACTCATGTTCTTGATGAGAATCTGTCAAGGCCTTGGAACGCATGAGGATCCCACGAACAACAAACCATGAAGTCCCATCCCATACATGTCCAGCAGTTGCTGGGGGGCTCAGAAAAAACATCGAGTGAGTGGACATTCACCTCTAAATACCGTGCAAAACCACCGGTGTTCAGAACTCTTGGGTTTAGTCATCCCAGGAGTCATCCATTCTGGTCATCCATTTGGCACTCGGCTTTCGCTTGCGGCCTCCTCCATCAATGTGTCAGTGGCTTTGTTCGTACTCGCGAAGGCCCAGGCGATCATGGAGATGTCCACGAAACGAGCACCACGCAGGGCAACAGTTGCTGGTTCCACCTCGTAGACCGGGGGCGGTACTGCAACTTGCCATGCCGGTTTCTTCCCTCTTTCTACAGAGACGAACCTGTCGTCGGAAGAGGAAGCATGCGACAGGATCTCAATACATGGTCAGTTTCCGACCTCGCGTCACACGAGATCTCATGTGACCTGTCCAACCCCTTGTTTCCCAGGTCGATAGATCGAACCATGCGGATGTCGACACCGGATTCATCAACCCGCTCCCCCTGAAAAACCGGTCAACGAGGGAACGACATAGGAGGTGGATGGAGACCAGATCCCCTAAAGGTCATGGCCTGATGGATGATGATGGCATTCTGCGTAAACCATGAGGTGTGAGGGGTACCCGCCGGGTACCCTTTGTGAGCTTGAAAACCTTAAGATGATCATGGAGTTTAAATCAGGGAAAAATACATATTTTTGCTAGAATAGGGGAGGTTTCTGCCAAGGAATATTGTTTTGTTGATTAGGGGTGTGCCAATGTGACAACTAAGGTTTTAAACGTGTTCTACATTATGTAGTTTGTTTGTTGGGGCTGGAGCTGGGCTTGATTAATAAGGGGAGGTTTGCTGATCCTGTGTGCACATTGTAATATATATATATATATGTAAGCATAAGGATTCTACATAGTTTCTGCAATTGGGTTCACCATGGTTCACCCACTAAGTACATCATTTACTGGCACTCAAGTGTTCAAGTCAAGTCTGTAATTCAAACACCTCTCGAAACAAGCCTGAGAAGACATGTGTCCCAATTCAAGTGTGCTCTGGAAGGCAGCATCAAGCGGGATTTTGTTGACCTAATCAATCTATTTCAGAGACAGAACATCTCTATAGATTCTGTGCAAAAGCAAACAAATATTGCATTCATTCTAAAAACGTACATAAAACTACATTATATATATATATATACATATCTATAGATGGCAATAGGAAAGGTTGGATTCTAGGTATTTCGCTGACATGGAGCCTGAAAACCACTGGTGCTGCTAGAGGAAAAACAGTCGGGACTCTCAATTGCTGGTGACCGTTTCCCGTCATGGGACGTCCGACAGGTCGGTTTGTGAGACATGGTCGGCTTGTCAGGAGACTGGAGAACTTGGAGGCGTGGCAGGCCTGGTGGCTGGGTGGCTGTGAACCAACACCCACCGACCGAGTGGGTCTGGCTAAACCGACCGACTCACCCCGACCCGTGAGACTAGAGGAGCCTCGGTGGAGCCTCGGACACCGGTCTGTGGAGGCTTTCCGGCGCTGAGAAGCGACACCGCGTTTCACGAACTGCTGGGATACTAAGTAGATCCGATCCTTTGTGTTCTCATTATGTTCACCCATCTGGAACTGATGTGGAACTGCTGGTATAACAAATTAGGCCTGGAATCTGTCTATTTGTGGGGGTACACTCAGTTGAAATCATCGATGGTTACCTGGATGGGATGGGAACATGATGCACAATGGCCCCATTGACATCCCTGACCATGAAATCCGAATACCGGCATAGCATGATTGTTTCAAGGGGTGTACCAAGATTACCACACACCTCCCACGGATGATGCCGGAATAAGCGCCATAGCATGGCTAAGCGTCCATCTGTCGCTAGAATTCTTGTGCCATCTCTTCTTCCACGAAACGCAGCCTGGGTCCGGCGACGGCCAATCTTCGCGGGGACCAGCAGGTTCCGAGGGCTCTTGGGTAGGATCCCCACAGATCCTGCATAAAAACACCCAGTCGACCTTGCTTCCTCCACATTCCACATACTGGAGCATTGAGGATCCACCAGCTTGAGCTGATGAATGACAAACACACACACAACAAATCACCTAAAACCCCTTGTTCTTCCACCAGACATAACCGAAGGGGTCGATTTTCGGAAGAGCCGTCGGGTGCCATTGTCAACTCGCTAGGAGTTGAAACCGGAACTCGACAGGGATCTCTTATTTGGGGATACTGAGCGCCCACTATCAGCGACCATCAGTTTCCAAGAGCGAATCTGGTGGGTCATAACGGGTCATGGGTTGGAGTTAGATGTCAAACATCCTCAAACCTTTACCCTGTCTGCTTCCCGATCGATGTTCTGTTTGCGGCGCCAATCCGCGAAGTCTCACCACCGGAGGACGCTCGGGACTGCGGTTCCTGACGCCATCGGAGGGCGCTCTGCCCCATCCGATCGCCACATCCCAGTTGACTGGGCTGAAGAGTCCGGAGGATCCTTCAGATGATCCGTGGATCCTTCAGTTTGGCGATTTATATAGGGAATGGTTAGGGAGTTAGGGCTGGTGCATTGACATATCTATAAGGTCAAAAGCCCAAGGTTTTGAAAGAACTCCAGGATCTTAACACCTGCATTTTTCTGAAGCTCGAGTCAGCTCGTCCCAAGTGACTGGCTTGTTCCAAGATACTTGGCAAAGGCCCACGTGGCCTTCGCCACATCTGTGGCCCCAAAGCGATGGCAACAGCGGCAGCTGCAGGCACTCAGCTGGGAGAGGAGCCTCGTGGAGGAGGGGCACAAGGCACGAGATCAGAGAGAAGATCGTGCCCTCTCGGCCTTTTTGACACGCAAACGCAACAAGTGCCTTACTAGTAACAAGTGCCACGCTAGTAGTAACAGGTGCCTTACTAGTAGTAACAATAAGAATTAAAGTAAATTACTACTAGCTTCTTAGTTACTACTAGTAAGGCACTTGTTGCTCATGGGCGGTTTCAAGCATCTAACAGTTCAGCCGGTCATAGTTACCATAGCCTATAATTGGAGGACGCAACTGGAAGAGACTAGGGGAGCCCAGCGAAGAAGCTATACATTGCTGCGTCATATATCATCCCTAGGGATCCAAGTACCTCCTCAAAAGGTACTTGGACCATCTTGGACCCTCCAAACCCACCCTAAACACCTTCTCAGAGGGTACTTGGATCCTTCGGGAATATATATATATATTAAACTTACTGTTATTGGACAGGATCGGTGGTGATGAAGACATGCAGAACTTTGGGACTTTCGGGGAGCCTCGCCGAGATTCGGGTTGGCCTTCTCCATGCTGACCGACTGGATCCCGATGTTTTGCAAGTTTTGGCGTTCTCTCTCAAACAGTGACAGTGTAGCCGAAGCGAAGAAATCAAACGGGCGAACTTTCTGCACCAGCTCTAGGGATCCAAGTACCTTCTCAGAAGGTACTTGGACCCTCCAAACCTACATAACAGTGCCCCAAAATTACCTTCTGAGAAGGACTTGGATCCCTAGGGCAGTGAGGGGGCATATGCAACACAGGCAACACAGGATCCATTTGTGGGCGTCTGTGCTGAACTTGCCTGGCAGTTGACGTGCGATTTTTGTAACATTTGTCCTAGGGGCTTGGAGATTGCTTTGAGCTGGAATTTCCTTTGACAGGCTTGCGACGTCTGGCACTGCATTTCTGGAGACAAATCGCACAAATAGAGCCAGTTGTAGGAGGTCCTTGTCGGACCTTCGTGATTTGAAGCTCACCCTGGAGTTGTTTGAAGGAAAGCTGGCGAGTGGTGACATGGCGCAAAAGCGTGCTATATAACCCGTAGCAAATCCTCTTCTGGCGTGCTTTTGAGGCCCTACCTGTAGCAAAGGACGGCTTTCGCTTTGACCCACCCACTTAAGACACAATTCGCTTCACTGATGGCTCAGGGACAGATCAGTGCAAGCCCGACATTGCTCTGGCGGACTGCCAGGGATTGTCCAGTTCGGTTCCCAGGGCAGAAACCTACACAGTGCTTCGGGTCAAAAAAATGGACCGCAGCAGAGACAACATCACGCACCTTTGACAAAACGTGCTGGGTTGTGAAACCAGTGTGTGGTCGAAACGTTCCGGTGCATTCAGGCTCGCAAGTGTGGCGTGAGCCATCTTGAAAGTTCTGACTTGTGGGCCCACATTGTTTCGGAGCTTGAGTTCAGTGCAGGGATCTACTGTCCCATCCACAAGATTCCACAAGATCCCAAGCGATGTGCTTGAGGTAGAGTGCATGTCGCCCCCAAAGGGCCGGGAAAACAACTCCAAGGCTGATTTCGCAGCCACGCTGGCTGGGACTGGCTGGTACAGGCTGGCAGGCTGGCGCATTGGCGCAAGGTCACGTCCTTGCTTGAGAAACATTGAAACTTATAGACCGTTTCATAGACTCGGCCGCCCCCCAGGGGAAACTTATAGACCGTTTCATAGACTCAGCCGCCCCCCAGGGGGGGGGGGTACTTTTGGCAGTCAAGACTATAGGGCAATCTCGATGTTTTATGTTTGATCGTTCGGTGCGGAGCCTCGATGGTACAGAAACGCTGGACACGTCTGCGGAGGGGTTTGGCAGCTCAATTGGGCATCGCTTTGGTCGAATGATAGCCTTAGGCCAGACTTTGGTTGCACTCTTGGCTACGAAACGGGCAGCCAGTGGTGGACCTCAGTTCGGAGTTTGGAGTTACTCGTTGAGGTGGTGAGGGTAGCTGCCATCCTTGGCATGCTGAAGATTTTGCTGTTTTTTCTTTTGAAGAGGTTGCTCGGATGGCCACTGTTCACAATGCCGATTGGCGCTAGCGCGCCCACGAGGAAACCAGGGTCGATGCATGTCGCTGCGACTCTGAACAGTCCGAATTTGGCAGTGCGTGTTTGTTGTTCTTTGACCGTCACCCTTCAGAAGGCAACACGCACACACACACACACATACACGTGACACACACACACACATATAATAAAGAGGGGGGGCTCCGAAGCAATGAAGAAAGCCGTTGCACAGGCACATAAGAATTCAACAAACATATCCCATATACTCCATGTATGCCTACATTGACCCCTCAAACCACCCCAATGTAGGCATATATGGCATACATGGAGTGTCTGGGTATTGTGTGTGTCCATCTTGTCATCGTAGTTGCAACACATTGACAAAGCTAGACATCTTAAGACTTGCTTGCTGTCTAGAGCCCTGACATGCGGGCATCACATTCACATGCAAGTCAAGCAATTGGTGTGTCATACTCAAATCTGATTCGATAACTTAAATCTGTTTGGTGGGGGTTACATCGTTTGGGTCATCCATTCATTTGACAACAAATGACAACAAAATATCATTCTTCCAGATCCCACTTACGCATCCCGCCTGTGATCGCCGTAGAGCAGCTTGGCTGCACTGTAGGCGAGCATCGACAAGCCCCTGGGCTCCAAGAAATCCATGGAACTCAGCAGCCGCTCAACCACTTCGTAGAAGACCTCCGGAAGGTTCTCGGCGGCTCCTGCACTGTTCAGCATGGTAGCCGTGGTAGCCGAAGACCGCACTGTGTTCGTTTTGCTGTATAACTCCCTGAATCCGTTGTGGAGAAGCAGCAGATCTTTCCCATCGACATTCGCCTGATTTCACCACAAAGAACCCAAAACTAGCCACAAATAGTGACATAATGTTACATAGATGCAGAATCTGAGTTTGAGATTGAGTATGCCTGAAACCAAGTCCCAAACAGGATATCACACAGGGGTCCTTCATCAATCTTCGCGGCCGACGTAAAAGCCACCACCAGGTTTCCTGACGACTCACACAGCTGCCGGTCACCAAAGTTGGAATAGAAGGCTATGGAAGGTCACCTTCCATGGAAGTGGATGGCATGGTCCCATGAAAGTCATGGAAGACTGTCCTCTACCAAAACACCAGGGGTTGTCCTCAGCCTTCTGGTGTGATGTGATGGTTGGTGAGTTGGAAAAATAACAAATACAAAGAGACTCACAGTAACTGGCGCTGGGTTTCAAGGATCCTGGCTGGTCCTCGAAAGGACCGCGTTGACTTTGACACATTCTTTGTTTTGTCTTGCTTCTTGCTTCTTGCTTCCTGCTTCCTGCTTCTTGCTGTTGTTGTTGTTGTCGTTGTTCAACAAGTCGCAAGCCGCACCAAGGCGCAGAAGCGGACAGAAGTGGTACGAACCAAAATTGGGATCCAACATTCCCAGACTTGAAACATCTATGGACAAATCATGACAAATCAAACAAAGTGAGCAACACGCCTGCCATCATGTGGTGAACATCGCGAGTCATCCCGGAGCGAGTCAGGTTCCATTCGGATGCTCCATCGAGCATCGAAGCCTGGAGCCTCTTGTTTTGGTGGGATAGCCAGGTGCCTGACTGGGTGCCTGGGTGACCAAACAAACGGGTTGGCCTGGGTGACCAGACCGAGGTCACCAGGAATCCAGGTCAACTCGCGAAACACCAAGATCCAGTAGACCCTTAAAACATCTTAAAACCATCTCAAAACCACCCCAATGTAGGTGAATATGCAATAGATTCTCCGGGCTAGAACCAACAATTCAATGGAATGACTGCCAAGCACCTGGCTATGGCTCAGCAAAAGGCACGACATGCTAATTTGCTCAAATTGGCTCAACATGGGTTCGCCCTCGGTCGAAAATTGGAGCCGTCGGTGGATATGCTTCCCTTCGCATCACTCCGGGCCTTTGAAGTCCTTGGAATTCTTGAATTGCTATACTGGTGAACCCCCCCAAAAACATCTCTGCACCAGCACCACCTGATTTGCAGGGCATATATTAGCTATATCGACTGGACATCTATATCCCACCAGCGTCGTTCGTTCATGGACTCGAACGATTGATCCGCTCCGCCCGCTCCGCCTGTGTCGAAGTGCGGCAGATGCTGTGCCACGAAGCGCCACAGCGCCTGCAGCAGTGGTGAGTTTCACACGGCGTTGTTCGTTCGTTCGACTGTGGTGGGGGGATGTTTGAGAACGAACCCAGGTGGATGTTGACAACAAGAACATCCTGTTGGATATCCAGCCACCCTGTTTATCTTGTTTTGTTATGTGTTTTGTTTGTTCAAAGAGGTGCCGGGATGAAGTTCTACATGTTCTACACATATATATTCTCCCTTTTGGTCACAAGATCTTCTCACGTTCAAAAAAGAACACGCCGTTCTTTTCCTGTTCAGACGGGGTCTTCAGTCGACCGACCGAGCTCGCTCGCCTGGCCTGGAGGTTCGGAGCCTCCCGGAGCTGTCGGTCCACCTGAGGAGGCGGGGCACCGCGACCCGAGGAGGGCGGGAGTCGAAGGGGTTTTGGGTGTTTTTAATGGACACCCCTATCACCTCTTAAGGAGCTAAGGAGTTAAACACCCCTACAAAGGGGCCCAGGTATAGTGTGTTGGAAAAAATGCAAACCTATGGAGACCCAGAAAGGATTCGTGGACTGGGTCTTTTCCTCTTGCGGCCATCTACTCAGTCATGCATGTTAACGGTTTTGGGTCTCGGAAATGGTGGGTGATGGTGGGTAACTAGTTTTTCAGATGCCGTCGGGCCATCTTCAGTCAAGGAAGGAAGATCCAAAGGCTCAATAGGACTTGTCTTGGGAACAGGGCACGGGCATGCACGGGCTAGCTACTGACCATGAGTGACTATGATGGAAACTGGACTCCTTTGGTATATAATATCTGAGCCAATAATTCTCCAAAAGGAAAACTGCACATAAGCAGCATGCCCCTCTTAGACTCAGGTTCAACGAAAACATGGCTTCTAGATATAGATAGTAGGTTGGAGGCCATCGCCAATAGGTTGGAGGCCATTGCTAATAGAGTCCTTTCATGGCTTTCTGCAGGTTCTTGCCTCGTGGTCACCCGGGATGCCGCACCTCCAAAGCCTCTTTGGGGCGCCGCCCAGTGGTCGAATAGATGGGCGGCGCAGACGGCTTGGCGCTTGGGAAGTAGCCAGGAGAGTAGAAACTGATCTTCCCGTTGCCTGGCGTTGGTTCAAACGCCACAACGCGACAACGGGTTTGGCAGCCAAGAGACAATAGGATGCGAACCACGGAACCGGAACCGAACCTCTGCACTTTGACTCTTCAGATATACTATGTTCAGCAATATATAGGCTAGAACGGGCTAGAACCATGTTGGCTTTATTATATAGTCTTATAGGACCTCTTTCTTATAGGCTATCTTAAATGGTCTATTATCGGTGATCTTCGGGGGGATCTCCATGTCTGGATCCTCCGCTTGGCTTTTCCCGTTTGACCGACGGGTCGGTGGCCTTCGACCCCTTTAAGGAGCGAAAGTAGCCACCCCGAAGTCCGCGACCTGGATCCACCCGGAACCAAATCCGGAGCTGCTTCAAAGGGGGGCCCAGAGCAACATTGAGAAAAGCCCGGCTGAAATCTCACCTGCACTGCAACGAGGTTTGGGCGTCAAGCTACCACGAGGCTTCGACCAATCCCGCGCGTCCACGTGTTGCGCCTGAGCCATTGGACTTTTGCATCGCATGGCCCGTGGTGTGAGTCGAATAGGACAGGTGAGTTGGGCTCGAGTGAGTGAGTCATGTCGCTTCCTTTTTGGTGGTTTCGGGTGGGGAGGAGGTCTTGATGTCTGAATCTGGCATGCCTGCTGCTCGGAACAGCCTGGGAGTTGCCTCTGGTTTCTCATGAAAGCCCACGTGTTGAGGCATATAATTGATGTCCTGATTTGCAAGACAGTAGCTTGAAGCTGCGGAAGCGCTTGACTGAAATGTCAACCACAACAACAAGTATCGAATTATATTTGTATCATATCGATTTCATCCACATTATGGCCGCTGAAGTCCTTAGTTAGGTTTTTGTCTGCTTCAGAATCATCGGAAAATGAGACTGGCGACGACTGGCGACAAGTCCTGCAGCGATCCTGAACCAGGAAGATGTTGTTTGTGTCACAAACGTCTTCCTCTCTCATCTCATCTCTATCTGCTGGTCTTCGAGCAAAAAATCGTGGACAAGTACCATGACTCTGACTAAAATCGCGTAGAACCCCCACGGAATCCTAGGGATCTACATACCTTCTCAAAAGGTACGACTGTACCTCCAAAGCTACATCAATATGTAAAAGCATCTCCAATTGCCCTCATCACCCTCTGCTCAGGGTGTGTGGATCCATAGGGAAACAAAGGATCATGTCGTCGATGTTTTCTGCAGGATGTGCTTTCTCATCTTCTCCGGACACATGGGCTGCTTTAGCCGGTCAACGGGAAGGGGGGGGCTGACCATGACCATGCCCAGTAGCTTCCCCGAACCGTGGTTATTGTTCTATTGAGTACATTACTCACATATTGAAGAATTATGAAGAATTCTGATGTCTGACTTCGTGGATTCAACCTCCGTTACATCAGATGTGCATGTCGATTCAATGTCTGCAACAAACTGGCTTCAAAGTTGCCAGGATTTTTGAGCCCGACGGGGTAGCAAAAAAGATGATAAAATGTGAGTTTTTAACTCTTCCATTCCCATGGGACTTCGACGTTCACACGCTCTGTCCCAGTGCGCTCTTCACCCCGTGGTGTCACCGTGGTGTCGCCGTTTCTTACATAAGCGTGTGCGACGAAAGTAGGGTGGCTGGATCCTCAGGAATCTGCCGTGGGGGATCCAGCCACCCTACTTTCGTCGCACCAGTCAGTTGTTTTGGGTCCGCTGAACCGAGGCTCCTTCACACCGAGGCTGGTGGAAGTGTGATGCCGATTCGGTGCCGACAGGGTCAACGGAAGCCACAGCCGTGCTCTTCAGGTCTTCAAATGAACAGCTCTTCTCAGCGGAAACAAAAGGAGCTGGGACCACCAAACAAACCCATCCAAATATAATGAAGTTAAACTGAAGGCAACACCGCACCACAAACACAATGTTCAAACATCTATCAGAACTTCAAGAAAATAAAAGTGCGGAGTGTGGTAGGAAAAAAAAGAAAAGCACACACACAAACAAACTGAACCATGGCCTAACTTATAAACTCGCCTCCTGAAAGTATGGGGCAACGTATGGGGCCGGTTCGTGGACAAGGGGTCTAATTTGTTGCAACACATTTACATGATTTGATACAAAAGTCCACAGGTCATGACTGGGCGTCCAACAAACCCAATTAACCAATGCTTTCATGGGCGTACACTGCTTCGTTGGCCACGAAGAATTTTCGCGGCAGAGTGAACCCGCCCGTTTCAGCGAGGGCAGAAAGAGGGATGGCGCTTGGAAAGCCTTGGCAAGCTTGCTTCTAACTATTCGCTCCAATATTTTTCTAAGCCCCAGACCCCCCAGATCTGGTCTGCTGTTGTGTTGGGGAACCGTGGCTTGACATCATCCACAACATGAGCTCAACGACAAAACATGTTCACCACTGGAGCCAGATGCCGCCACTGGAGCACTGGCGGAGCCAGGCACTGGTAGGGTCCTTCCACTCCTTTGCTGTTCCAAAGCAATTGCAAAGGACGAGCAGCCCAAACGATCCCAAACGACTGGTACGTGTACCTCGCCGATGTCTCTCATGTCTGGCTTGCAGGTGGCGTTAGCCTCTTTGTTTTATCCTTCTGTCAGAGACAATGGCCTTTCCAAGAGCTGTTTCCAAAAGCCAAACAGTCTGGCTGCATTGAAGTGCGATCAGAAATTATACTCCCTGAACAACTTTTGTTTGTTGAGGAAAATCGTATTCTAGGAGGCTGTTATCCACTTTCATGATTGTTGGAACGAGGGTAAATCTCAATACCCCTTTTGGTTGCAGTTTCACATGACAAACATCCCAACCTCCAGAGAAATGTCGCGTGTATTTATGTATTTTAACTTGTGTATTCATAGCTATTTTAGCTGCCTTCTGTCCCAACGATGCTACACTGGGTGAGCAGGGCTAGTTCCGAGTGCCGTGGAGCATCAGGGTTTATCATCCTCAATCGTTAAGAGGACAAACAAAACAACGTCATTGTCCAACTGCAACAACAAATGTGGCCAACTCACAAACCGACAAAGTAGGCCAAACCGGAAGCACATATAACAAAATATAACTAGTTACTTGTGTTACTTCTGCGCCCACCAATCCCTCTTAGGCCCACAAATAGGCGCGGCCGTCCGCGCCGGCGGTGAAAAGCCAGGGCTGATGCGGGTGCCATGCACAGGACAAGACGCCAAAGCCCTCGGACTGGGGTGATGTTGGGTGTCTGCAGGGGCCAGGCGAGTGAACCCAGGCGGTCATGAAGCGATGGATCGTTGGCGCTGAACGAAAACGGAGTAAATCGATTAAGCCCTTGTTCGTGATGATTCATGTGCGCACAGCTGGATCTTGACATCTTGGGCCAGCCTGTCTTTTAAACATGTCAAAAGGCTTCCATTGAACTTGTACGGATTAATCTGGTTTGCCACTGAGTGTTGAACCCTGACAAGTGATCCTAGAACAGATCCTGGACCCATCTCGATCCTATCATCAAGCACTTGCCGGTAACCGCTGGAGACAATGACAGACATGTCTCACATTCCTGCACCAGAACCCGCTTCAAGAATTCTTGGATGATGAACCCTTGGTTGAAACAGCATGTCGAACGATGGTTCCGCCCCAACAAATCCAGCGAACGATGAACACGTCCGACTTCTCGATGCCAAACACCCTAACGTTGATCCGGGCCGTTCGTCCCTCTTCCGCCGTGAAACCGCCCAAACCGACCGGACCCTTCGTCGCCTCCAAAACCCGGACCGTGGGGACCGGACCAGTGGACCGGTCCAGCCCGCACTCCCATGGAGCTCAGTCCCATGGAGTGGTGACAGTCCCATGGAGTGGTGACATGTCGATTGACTCCAGTAGTACTAGTCTCATTTGGGTGGTTGAGCTGGTACAAGATTGACTCCATGTATGTCTCTCTAGTCTCATTTGGGTGGTTCACCTGGGGGAAAAAAATGGCAGTCGTCCCATGGAGGAGTTGAGCTTCCCACACAACCCGTGGAGAACCCACAAAGGGACGACGTGTTCCGCCCTTCCGCGGCGATCGCCTGATTCACCATGTGATCCCGGAGGCGCTTCACCGGCACAATCATCGGGCTCTGCATCAGGTCTGAGAAGACCTCTAGGAAAGATGTCTCAGGTCAATGAAATGCATACATACATATACATATATATATATATACATAACGAACTACTATAAGAAACATATAGAACAATATAAGCACGATGAAGCACAAATCAAAACACCCATCAATCAATCGGCAGTCTCTCTACCCACCTTGGCATGTAGGATGCTGACGGTGGCATCGTCCGAGCAAGCGGCCAGCAGCGGGAACTTGCCCGGATGAAACCTCGGTGGCGCGTTCCATCGGTTCACACGGTGTCGAAGCAGGTTCGGTCCGATCGGCCAAGCGGAGATCCCCAAAAAAGCCCAGACACGACCCATGGGACTGCCATATATGCCGATCAGTTGGGGTGGGCCATGAGGGGTCAATGGGGCGGCATATATGGCAGTCCCATGGAGTATATGGGACACGTGAAAGATCATCCCGCCCTATACCATACAACTACCCTTAAAAAGAAACGACCCGGGGTCTCCAGACAGGACACCCAAATGGTCGGATGTACCAACCTTCGAAACAAAGGTATTATTAGGCTTTGTGGGCCCTACATGCCCCCCCAGTCTCCCAGTCTCACCCACCTTCCAGTCTCCCTCCCACTCTCCACGAAGACCTTGAGGTAGATGATGTTCTTGCAAAAACACAAATAGCTATAGAATGCTACTATTGATAGATCTATATAGCAACTGGATTGAGTAATGATTCGTTCAACCATGTCCAAGAAAAACTATTTACATCTATTTACTCAATCCACATGTCCAAGTGTGATGGATCCAAGTTCTCTCAGAAGGTACTTGGACCAATCACCCGGGTGTTCCCCGTTCCTCCTTACATAGTGTCTTTCTGTGGACGGTCTCCACTCCCCGCGTCAAGTGGCGTCGCACACCGCACCGCCTTGTCATGATACTGCAGTGTCCTGAAACAGTCGACAGTGACAGCGTTTCGGAAAAACAAACAGGTTTATTTAAAACATATAGTTATAAATGGATTCAGAAAAGATTACATGTTCTACACATGCTGCAAGCACGTACGAAGAAAAACCACGTGCCGGGCCCATGTCACGTAGTGTTCACAGCTGTTCACAAGCTTTCACAACTACCCAACCAGCTCACCAGGTTTGTGATTAAATGCTGACCTCTTTCTAGCACATGAACTGGTCACGTGTTTCTCAAACACACAAGGAGATGGTCTCGACGTGTTGAAGATTGTTGAAGTACTTGTTTAGAGGTCATGAATTCTACACTTGCAAAGGGCTTGCCAATGAGCCTCCTGAGATTCATCTGCATTTCCATATATAGCTTAAACTCCCTATCAAAACTATGTGCTCAGTGACCGGTATTTCTTCATGACCGTTCCACATCAGGGACTTCGCTGGCCTGCATTCTCCTGTCCTGTTCCTTCGTTGGTCACGCGGGATGAGCTCTGCGCAGTCCACGAGTTCGTGAGCGTGTGAGCGTGTGCGCTCGTTTTCTGCGCCAAGATGCTTATATGGCTTTGACGCAAAATCCAGATCCCACCACACCTGATGCCAGGTGACGTCAGCCAGGGTCGGCCCAAGGTGCAGCTTGGAAACCGCATGAGACCAGCAAGGTGTGCGGTGTAGGAGTTGACAACAACACCTTGGCCTTGAAGGACTTAAAGCGTCCTCTGGTTTTAGGGCTTGCACCCACTTCGGTCACATGTTCTCAGACCTCCTGCATCTGCACATCGCATCTGCATGTCTTTTGAACCTCGCGTGGTCGTTTTACACCCAGTGGCTCCACTCAATACTAGCTCTCCAACCAGGCTCCACCCCCAACGTGGAGCTTCATCCTCTGTTGCAAAAGAACAACCTCTGAGCCACGTTCCCAAATCCTCACGTGTTTTTAGTGGATCCCAGGTTACTGCTAAAAGAAAACAGTCCTTGTTCGGTCGATTGTTTCAGTCGAACTGGAACCACTGGGACACCTAGCTGCTAGCTGAAACTGCAACCAAATCATTGTTACGTGGATGGCACCACCTACAAGTATTCGGTCTTCGGATTTCATGTCCATCCTTCAGTATATGCCAAATGGACTGTATCAAGGATCCTGACGAGCCATTTTCATCCTTTGTCAACATCAGGACCCTCCAGAAACCAACGGCAGATCGGTAGTGGTGGATATTTGGCGTATCCCGGCTACCTCCGGGTGAAGGAGCAGGAGTCCTCAACCAGTTCGGGACGTCATACCTAAACCATCGTTGGGGTTCCGGGGGGAGCTGGGTTCCGATCTTCTCGGGAGCGGTCACGAAGCGAACCGAACGTCACGTCTGTGCATCGAAACACGAACGGTTCGCGTTCAAAGCTCCGAACTCGTAAGGCACCGAAGCGGTTCGGTTTCGCTACGTGATGCACGCTTGTTACTACCAGCAGTCACAAGACGGGGCACTATCCATGAAGGCTAGGGGTGCCCATGATGCACTCACTTAGAGACTAAATACCACCCCTTTGTGACTCCTGCCTTCTAAACCTAAAACCTTCTAAAAAGCAGTGTTTCGGAAAAAACCCGAAGATTCACTCAAAAACCAGGTTTTGGTGTTTGGGGTGTGATGTTGGGTCAACGGAACGCGCTTGCAGCAGCTGCTCATGTGATTTTGCTGCTGCTGGTGCTCAATCCGGTGATCGATCGCCTGCAAACATTGAACGCGCGGATCCCAAGTGAATTAAGGAGGGCTCACTTAATGTATCCAGCTTCTTTGAAGTGTGCGTATGCAGCAGCTAGAGATCTTTGGAGGGTTCGAGTCACTGCCAAACGGGATGAAACACGACGTGACACGCGACTCGGCTTCCCAATGAAATCCTCTGCCATCTGGCAGCTCCAAATTAATGGATTAATGCAGACACCTGCTGCTGCTACTTGGTCCTCCATCAAAAAGAAAATTTCATGTAATCTATGCAAGTTGGGCATAAATGGAAACAATGGCCGCCGGGCTTGGAACGACTGGTAAGCGACACGGCCATTCAGCTTCAAGAATTCGAAGCCGTGACGCGCGATCTGCTGGGCCTTTGGCCCCGGGATCCAAACTCCTTCTTTGTAAATCTTGGAAAAGAATTGATCCACCTCTATGGCAGCCAGAAAACAAATGTGAAGCAAAGTGCCTCGTATGTTTGGCTCCCTTCCACGACAAAACTCAATGATGAAGCGGAGTAGGCACAGCGTGGTGCTTCCCTTGGACCAGCCTCCGCTGGGAAAGTCCGTGGCCTGCAGCCACTTGATCGTCTCCTGTGAGAGCTTTTTGATGTATGGGCGTTGCTTCCGCAAACGACACCAATCAAAGAAAGCATCGTGCAAACTCTCAAACCGCTTTGGCACTGAAGTGCCTGGGAGAAGTTCAGCCACCAACACTAGTGTCGATGAGACGAACACCTTGCCAGCACCCAGATGAAATCCATGAAAAAGGTCTAGACCAATCATTGATGTTGGCAGGTTTGCATCATGTGGCAACTGGAGAAAGACTGGATCCTCCAAAAACGGAGATACTTGCCCAATAGTAGACCTCCATCTTGGACAAGAGCTTTCAAAATCCTCGAAAGGATACCCATTTTGATCTGCAAGGCAATTGTGGCAAATCCCTTTAGGAGGTGCCTTGGAAGTCGGTTGTTTTGCAGCCGAGCCAAATGTTCGTCCCAAATGAAATGATTTTTGATGGAAAGGCCAGTCACCAACAATGTATAACACAACGAGCCAATGCTTTTGGCCTTGGAGTGACATGACCCCGTTGGTCAGAATCTCGTTGAAATCATCCACGACTGCCTCTGCGAGCCTGTCATAGGCAGTCCCATCCCCATACAGGCTCTTAGGCAAAACCCCTAAAAGCCATCTAGTTGCCCAGGTGTTGCCAACAAAGTTGATGTCTTGCTTTGCATAGTCGGTCTCTAGTGAAGCTCTGCGGTTCCTCACATTGCTTCCTCTGCCAAGGATGCTGCTTGCATTCAATATCATGATTGCTGTTTTTTTTGGTACGTCCCTCATCCCCATGTACCACAAAAGCAGCAGTTCTTCGCAAGGACAAGACCCCATCATCGGCCATGCGAAAAACCTGGTGGTTTGGCATGATCTTCCTAAAGTTGGTCCAGAAAGCAGACCACTGCGCCTCGCATCGAGAATCATCAGGGGCATCAAGGCCACTGAAGGTGTGCCACAGGTTTAAGCTCATCATGAACTTAAGCCACGAGCTCGGAAGTAGAACTGGGATCTCAACATCCTTCGAAATTTGAACCGGGGTCAACTCAATTGGCAAAGTGAGATTGTAGACCTTCCCAAGTCTTTGCACATCTCTCTCGGAATGAGACAGTGAGCACTTGGCCAGCACCCCTACTGTTGAAACAGCAGCTTCTGGCACTTCTTCAATCACCGCACGAGCCGCCCTGATAGTAGAGGTGCAAGGGGCCTTGGCCAGTCAGTGAGCTGAAAACTTACGAGGTAACCATTATGCATGTTGAGAAGTCGAAAACCACGGACCAAATAACTTCACAGATTTGCTCCGTCGCTTGCAAACTTTCACTGTCATACACTGGCTGGTGAGAGACTGAAGACTTTTGACCTTTGCTTTCTCAAGCGTGACCAGAAAACATATTATCACGTTCTTTGTGAACGCTGGTGCACCCCCACGAATTGTTTGAATTGATGTCGGTAAAAGCAGGCTAGAAATTAGGCTGGCTTTACTTTGAAGCTTCTGTACACAACATATGTCATGTACGCTACTGAGGTGTCATCATGTCGCACCGAATCACCACCTCGACGTACATTTCGGCAGCCAGGCTGGCCTCATCCGGGCGTGACAGAAGTGGGATTGAGGGCATCAAGAATTCGATCGGACATGCGTTTGGGTGCAAGGCATAGCAGGCACAATACTCACCAAGATCTCACACTAAATGCTTGCAGGGCACCTTCATAGCGATCAATGAGACAGGCTTCAAGCATCGCTGGACTCCATGGTTCATTGGAGACAAACAAGATTTCCATACGTTCCCATTTGTCACGTTCCCACCTGTAGCCGTATTTTCGGTTTTCCCATCGAAGCACTGGGTTGGAAGTGAAGCCAAACTTGAACACAAGCGGATACCAGCGCTCAAAAATGGTAGCAACAACCTGGAGCGAATGTTGCAAAACAACACCTGCTGTGGTGGCTTTGATCGGGAGCCAAAGTGAGATCTTGTCATGCTCTTCAATCTCTTCCAACAAAGAACAAACATCTGGGCTCTTCATTGTATCACCCACATGGCTTTGCCATGAGACCACAGATTTCCTAAGTGGGGTTGGACAAGTGCAAATCTTCTCCGTAGCCATCGCGTGAGAATCTTCTTGACCTTTTACAGGCCAAGGAAACGGACAATCTTCAACCTGAGCTTCATGCGTGCCGGGCACCAAGTGAAAAGCGAAGATCGATTTATTCAATCAGGTTTGCATGCACTGCAAACTTTCCCTCATTTATTCATGGTGAGAGGCTGAGCGATGGCAAGTGAGCAGTTCCAACAACTCCTCCTCTGGGGTTTCCATAGCAAATGGCGGTCCACCGCTTGAAAATTATCATTGACTTGAGCCCCCAAAATCTTGTTCACAAAGATGGCTTCGCATGTCACAGTCCAGACTTCAAGAACACAGCTGCGGTTTCATGTTGAGGTTCGGACACCGTCAGCTACATCTCGTATCCACCGGCGAAGACTTGGTCCGGCACCTGGCACGGTCAGAGATCACAGGAGTCGGGACCAGTGAGGGGGGGACTTGGGTTGCAGGGTGCAAATGAAAGAGATGCCACCAATGATAGCAAAACTCCCCATTGTATGGTTTAAGCTTTAATGCACAAAGCCTTTTCACACGTAGCGGCTCGTGTGGAGTTCACAAAACCCTGGTCTTTTCGACCCCAGTGTTCAACATCAACAGGTTTGCCACTGAGAATCTTAAAGCAAACCCGATTGAAAGTCACCCCGCTGATGGGCTGTGTCGTGAACACAGCGATCAGCCCCGCAAACAAAATCCAGCCACCATCAAGCTGAAACTACTGAGAATGCTTGCGTTTGCCTTTGGCCTTCGACTTGGATTTTCCAGCGGCCTTTGCCGCGGCAGCCTTGGCCGCGGCCGCCTTTGCTTTTGCACTCTCACCCCCTTCCGCAGGAGACGATTTCTGGAAAAACTTCTTGGCATTCCTGCGTGCGCAAAAGTTCTTCAGGGTTCAGAAGCAACTGCTTAGTTGGAGTCGGGTTTTGCTGATGATTGTAAGGCCTGACTTTCAACTCAGCTGCCGTGGCCCGAGATGACCTCAACAGCTGACGACTTGATTGGTTATCATGTAGATCAAACTGCTAGTGCCTATATATCCAATGAGATTTCAAGGTAAGGATACGGTTCCAAACTGGTTCAGTCAATGCCTTTTGTAACCAAAACATGCTGGGAATCAAACACCATGGTTGCCTCCCTCATTTTCTTCTCAGCGTCCGCCCACCACCTGAGCGTGGAAAGCAGAACATAATAGTAAACATGGTTAATGTAGATCGTCAAGACC